AATAAGTAAAATCTGCAGTATGTTAGTGATAAGTGTTATGGACAAAAACAGAGAAGGGAGGACAGAGAATGTTGGAGTAGTTTTAACTGGGGTGATCAGAGTAGGCCTCGTTGAGATATTTGATCATATACTTGAAGGAGATAAAGAAGTCAGCCGTGTGTATATGTGGGGGAAAGTCTTATGCAGAGGGAGCGGCAAGTGCAAAGGCCCTGAGGTGGGAGTTTGTTGTATGTATTTGAGGAACATCAGGGAGACCAATGTGGCTGGAGCAGAGCGAGTGAGGGGGGAGTGGTGGGAGATAAAGTCACAGAGAAAACAGAGTGGGGCCATGAAGGGCCTTTCACATAAAGTGAGGTGGGAGGCTGCAGGCAGGCTTAAATGCTAACAGGATAACTTGGCTGTTGTGTGAACAGACTGATGTGGGGAAAGGGCACTAACAGGGAGACTACTTAGGAGGCCATGACAGTGTCCATGTGAGCAATGCTGATGGCCTGGATCAGGTGGTAGCAGTGGAGGTGGTGAGGCGTAGTCAAGAGTTTAGATTGATTGAGGGAATTCCCTGGCGGTCCAGTGGTTAGGACTCCACACTTCCACTCCAGGGGACACAGGTTCAATCCCTGGTTGGGGAACTAGGATCCAGCAAGCCGCGCAAGCGTGCCACAAAAAAAAGTGGAAGAAAGAGACGAGTCTGTGATGACATTAAGCTGTTAGGCTTGAGCAACTGAGGGGAAGGAGAGCCATTTGCCGAGATGGGAAATACGTTGGATGGAAGAGATTGGGGTTTACTTTGAACGTATTAGGGATGAAGTGCATATTTGACATCCCAGTAGAGATGTAGAGTGGTGGTTGCCTCTACGATGTGGCATCCAGGGAAGGGGTCCAGGCCATGAGTATAAACTTGAAAATTATCCAAGCAGAGATACTTAGAGTCACAAAATTAAATGAGATCAACATGTAGAGGTCCAAGGGCTGATTTCTGGGGCAACCAACACTAAGAGGTCAGGGGAACAAGGAAGAACCAGCCAAGGAGAATGCAGAGGAGGGGCTCGTGAAACCTGAGGGAGAGCAGGCATGAAGAACAACACGTTTAAGGCAGAGGAGCCGCAGCTGCGCCCAGTGCTGCCAACAAGCCTTCTGCCAGGAGGCGTGAGAACGACTGCTGAGACTGAGCAACAAAAAACAGTCCTGCTTATCATAAGGAGATGGTCAGTTCACGTACAAGGATGACTACAGTAGCCTTGTTTACAATGGAAAAAAAAAAGAAATCTACATGTCCAACAAGAAACAGCTAAGTATAAAATATTCAGCAATTAAGACAGTAATAAAGAACATTTAACATGAAAAAATGCTCACAATAAGCAAAATATAAAGCTGCCTATACATTCCCTATTCTGATGATTTAAAATGTTTTAATTCATGAGGATATTTATTAATGCATAAAAATTCTGGGAAGATAGACATCACAATGTCATTAATAGACTCTGTCTCTCAATAATGAATTTAGGGTGATTTTTTAAAAATACAGTTTCCTGGGCTTCCCTGGTGGCGCAGTGGTTAGGAGTCCGCCTGCCAATGCAGGGGACACGGGTTCAAGCCCTGGTCCGGGAGGATCCCACGTGCCGCGGAGCAACTGGGCCCGTGTGCCAGAACTACTGGGCCTGCACTCTGGAGCCCATGAACCACAACTACTGAGCCCACGTGCCACCACTACTGAAGCCCGCGTTCCTAGAGCCCGTGCTCCGCAACAAGAGAGGCCACCGCAATGAGAGGCCCGCGCACCGCAACGAAGAGCGGCCCCTGCTCGCCGCAGCTGGAGAAAGCCCGCGCACAGCAACGAAGACCCAACACAGCCAAAAATAAATAAATAAAAAAAATAAATTTATATTAAAAAAAATACAGTTTCCTGAATCCACCTTCCTTCTTTCCTTTCTAATATGTAAAGGCCCTTTAAGAGAGCACTTTTACCAGAGTGGGAGGAGTGAGGGGTGGCTGAACTGGGGAACTGGCAATATTAACAATAATGAACATGTATTGAGCACTCAGTATGTGCCAAGCAGCATGCTCAGTTTTTACTGTGTATTTTAGGGATTGTTTAGTTTAATTGTGGCAGGTAGGTATTCTTGTGTGGAAGTGTTACCATCATTCCCACCAAATAGATAAGGAAATGGGGCTTAGACTGTAAACTTTAGAGAGGCTAATAACTTACCCAGGGCCACACAATTGGAGGAACCAGGATTTGGAACCAGGCAGGCTGGCCTCTAGAGCCTGTGTCTTCCTTCAACATTTGAGGGGCAAATGAAAAATTTCCAAGCAAGAGACCTATATATTTGTAACAGACGGGGTAGTATCAGGGAGAAAGACTGAAGAAACTAGGGAAATGAGATTCATTCACTCAACAGCTGTTTATTGAGCACCTACTGCATGCCAGGCACTGTGCTGGGCACCGAGGATCAAGGGTGAACAGGCTGAGACAGAGGACCAGCCCGCAGAGGGCTTAGTCTAGCACGAGCAGGGGCAATCAGGGGTTGGGAAAGGGGGGACCACAGCAGACAGGGGGAAGGTTAGGTCTCAGAAGAGTAACACTTCTTCCCCTCGCCCTGAAGAGAGGTCAAGGTGACATTTAGATGGAAATATAAGGAGGGGAAGAACTTGTTGAGGAAGATCTCAGGAGATAAAGGTTGCAGCAATTCTTAAACTTTTTGGGGTCACAGAACCCTTTCAGTATCTAATGAAAACGATGGATTCTTTCTCCAGAAAAATGCACATCCACACAAGGAATTCACGATCCCGAGATGCAGGTTATAGAACTGTCTCTGAGGCACTGGATTAGGGGACCAACTCCCTTGCGGAGAGGTCATCCCAGCCGTCTCTCCCCAGACCTGTAGCAGGTCTAAGAGATGGGTAGGGAGAGGGTTGCCTGCCAGGCCCTGGGATACCTGTAGATTCCCGGCCAAGAGGAGCATTCCTCTTGGATTCTCCCCACCCCCAAGACCCTCCTCTCACCATCATGGTCTAAGGTCCAGTTAGCAAGGGCTGAAGCTTCAGAGCTGGCACAAACTGGCAGGGTCCAACGCGACTAAAGTCTTGCTTGCACTTTGAGGAGTTTTGGTCTCCCCAGCAGAGCCTGAAAGACACTTCTTATGGTTCTTACGCAGGCTCTTTGCTTTCACTTTCATTTCAGTAAAGTCCCTGCCCTTCCCGTACTCCAACCCTGGGTGGCTTCCTGGTCTTCGAACTTCCCCCAGCTGTGAGGCCTCAGGGGAAGTTACCCCACAAACAACTACAAACTGAATGCTGGCCCCAATCTGCCATTCATTCCCGACCCAGCAATCCCAGCACAGGCCTATTGGTAGAATTTTGTCTGCTTTGTTAATGGCTATTTCCCAAGAGCTTAGAATGTTGCCCAGAACATGCAGGTGTTGATAACTGAATGAGAAATGCAACCAGGACAGATAAAGCCACATCAAGCTGACGAAGCTGTAGCAATAGCCATCACTTGAGAGCTGTTATGTGCCCTATACCAATTCTGCTTTCCATGAATTAACTCAACCTTCAAAACAACCCCTTGAAGTTGGTTCCATTTTCCCGATGAGATTCTAAACTTGTGAGGCACAGAAGTGCAGAAACCTGCCCAAAGTCACATTGCTAGGAAGTGATGCATGTATACAAAGCTGGTTGGAACAGTATTTGAATTTTTAGTTAAAGGAGGGTTTAAATATAGTTCCATTTGTGAGTGTGACTTACTGGAGACATCAAACACTTAAGGGTGAGGGGCTTCCCTGGTGGTGCAGTGCGTTAAGAATCTGCCTGCCAACGCAGGGGACAAAAGTCCGAGACCTGGTCTGAGAAGATCCCACATACCGCGGAGCAACTAAGCCCCTGGACCACAACTACTGAGCCTGCGCTCTAGAGCCCGTGCTCCAAAAAGCGAAGTCACCGCAATGAGCTCGCGCACCGCAACGAAGAGTAGCCCCCACTCAATTAGAGAAAAGCCTGCGCGTAGCAACGAAGACCCAACGCAGCCAAAAAAAAAACAAAAACCAAAAAACACTTAAGGGTGAGATGAGTCCAATGAATATACATAAAACAGTGCAGGATATAAGTTTTCTATTTTCACCTAGTCCAGGGCTTCCCACTCAGAGTAACTTACCGAGCCCCTTTCTCATGCCCCCACTCCTCACCCCAGCTGAAAGTGTGCCAAGTGTGAAGCTTGGCAAATAGGGCCATTTGAATCCTAGTTCCATTTAGTGACTTAGTATTAGCTTGGCTGGAGAACCTACTTCATCAGTAACACCAGTCACAGTTAAGTGTCCAATGAGAGGTAAAATGCTATAGAAGGGCCAAACGCCTTTCCTGTAACACAGTGGTGACAATCCAGAGCCCCACCCCCTTGAACCACACCCTTCCTTGCCTGTCTCTGCTAGACAGACCACTTGGGGACCTCTCCTTGGTCCCACTAGGAATGGCTGCTCTGTGGCTCAGGCCTTCATTGTTGGTGTCCATCCCCATCTAGAGCAGTTCTCCAGTGTGGTCCTCGTCCAAGCAGCACCAACATCACTTGACAAGATGCTGAATTCTGACCTACCAAATCTGGCACTCCGGTTTAACAAACCACCTCAAGTTAGTGACTCTTAATCCAAAGTAGATGGTGTCCACTCAGAGGGGCCTTTGGTTGTCACAACGGCGGGGCGGGGTGGGGGGAACAGTTCTCTAGATATGTAATGGGTTGAAGCCAGGGATGCTTAAACAATTCCACACCTAAAAATGTCCAGAGTAGCTCTTTTGGGGAAACAGTTCAATATGACATTTTACCCAGAGTTAAGCCATTAAAGGATTATGAGGCTACGGACAGAAGTAGCCCATGTCTCACAAAGGCAGATGTACCTTTTATTTTATATTTTCCCACAGTCCCTCATCCACCACCCAGTGTCTCTCATCGTATGAATGTTCTTTCCCAGTCTAATAACAAGAAGAAAGCAGACACATGGATTTTTTTTTTGTTTGTATTTTTGTATTTTTAATGACTGAAACAAGACAGACCTAAAACCGCAGCTTCTGAAAGAACCATTTGTTCTTGCCGGTCTTGTATCTAGAGGGGGGAAAAAAGGACACCAATGAGGGGAGGAATCACAGAAGACAAAACTGTCTTCATGGAGAACAGTGAAACCATACTCCAGCATTCACTACCAAAGCCTACTTACCTCTCCTCAAACTTGACCTTGGCCTCTCGTCGGGCCTTGCGTTTGAGAGCAGGGTCTCTGAAGACATCCTTGTTGACAACAGTTTTGTCCAAGGGGATATCCACAGAATACCTGGGGACAATGGCAGGAAGGTAGGAGCAGCCCACATGCTGCCAGGGCCTTCACCCCTCCGCCCCACTCCTGGGACATTGGCACGTTAAGGTCTGACTCCACAGGAGCTATCATCAAAACTGTGCTAAAGTCCTGATGATATTCTTTGGAAATGCCCAGTTTTAACAAACTCATTTACATAGATTCAAGCCACTGAAAAACTTCACAATTCACTCTCAGTTTCCCACAACTACCCTACCCTATAATAACTATTATCCTTGAGAGTGGAAGAAGGCAGGCCAGATTCTATGCCTGTGTTTACTGTGGCTGGAAACAAATGGAACCACCTTTACTCAACACTTCAAAGAATTTTCAGGTGAGGAGAGAGACTGATCAAGAGCAAGTTTGGAAGAGGTTTTTCAATCCGGCTTTGCCAAGTCAGGGAAATCAATAGAAAACAACAGGAAAGTGAACACTTCCAAGATGGATTAAAGAGGCAACACTGGAAACCACGGCCAAATGACAAATTGAAAATGATGTCTCTTCCACTGGAGTGGCTACAAGGTTGTCTCCTTATTCAGCAGGGCAGAGAGTGGGAAAAGTTAGAAAAAGTCACTTTCATTCCCATTCTTGAAACGCTCACCTTGTAGGCATGAGGTGATTATAATTATAAACTTTCACGAAAGACTTGATCTTTGACCTCTTGGCAATTTTCTTCTTGCCCATGGCAGCTGTCACTTTGCGGGGATAGCGATCAATTCCAGCCACCAGAGCATGGCTGTAGGGTCGGTCTGAGGTGCCATCATCAATGTTCTGAATGAGCAATTACATGTTATTGTTTAGGCCCTTTGCTAGATGTAGGGCGTGTATAGAAAGAACACCCTCAACCCTTAGGCCTCTGAGACCCACTATTATAAAAATGACACAAAGCAGACGTTCTAAGTGCTATGCTAGATGCCCAAAGAGTAACAAGGAAAAGGGTGGTTTCCTTCCCACCAGGAAAAATCTGGAAGGGGTCCTGGGAGGTAAGAGATTTAAAATGTAACAATAGTTAACAATTATGAAGTGATTGCTATATGCCAAGCACTAGTTCTCAGGACTTAACATCTCTTAGCCTCCTCCAGGATTGCACTGCTAGGAATGGTTAGAGGCAGGATTCCAAACCTGGCTGCCTAACTCCAAAACCAGCCTCAGGTAGACGGAGGAAAGGGAACCAAGGGTGCCCCGGTGTCCCCAACAGTCAACAGCAGTGGTGTATGTGGCCAGGGCTTAGGAAAATCTCATAAAAAGCTAAAGACGTAGGTAAAAGGCAAACAGTGAACGGCTAGATTATGCTAAGTGACCACTTTAACTAGAAACAATTTCTCCTCTTTTTACGGAGTCCAGCTGCAGCACTTACTACCTGTTTGACCTCAGGTTAAACTTAACATCTCTAAACCTTCGCAGTAGAAAGTAACCTTATAGTTACCGCAAGGATTGCACATGACGACACCTATAAGGCAGTGCCAGGCACCAAGCAAGCATTCAATAAACGTCAGCCATTAGTATTATTTAAAGCCTCTGATGGAGAACGCGTTGGGTGTTAGCTGTCCAATTCAACTCCCATTTGTTATTATGCGTCTTTCTCTCTCAAAAGCTCTCATGCATTCACCTCCCCCCACCATTCGCAATGCTCAGTGGGTAATGCCCCCAAACTAGGTCTTGAATTCCAAGTTGCCCGCCCGCCCCATTCACGGAATACAAAGGGACACAGGTTCGCGAGGTTGGTACCTTTACGATGACCGCTTTGCGTCCGGAGTAGCGACCGGCCAGGACCAGCACCACCTTCCCGGGTTTCATGAACTTGCCCATGTCTGCAGAGAAAAGAGAAGGGGCCGCTCAGAAACCCGCCAGCTCAGGCTGTGGGCCCGAAACTTCAGCGGCGCTCACTGCGTCTCGGCTCAGGCCGCCCGCAGGTCCTGCTCGCAAGACAGGATCCGCTACGAAGCCGTCAGAGACCGAGGAATGAAAAGCACCCGGCACCACCCCGCAACTCGACCCCCAGGCCGCGGATGGCTGCGGATCATAATACCCTGCCCCAGCCGCTACTCACCGGCAGCAACCTCTCGGGCCTACAGCAGAGAAAGACAGACCACTTCCGCTTACCTTTCACCCCGGGGAGGGTGACCTCACTTCCTGTCCCGCCCCTCGGGCTTCTCCCCGCCTCTTGCGTGGCGCTCAGAATCTGTGTTGAGGGCGGAAGAAGCTCTTGAAGGGAAAGGAAGGCCTGGCAGCTTTTTTATTCAAATCAAACTTTATGAGCAGCTCCAGCAGTAGAAAGGGCAAAGGAGTTCTGCCTCCCCCGGAAGGCTTTTACGTGGACGCAGCTGCTCCTCTGCCCCCTGGTTGTAGTTCCTTTTTCTGGCGCTAGCGGGTGGGGGAGGCACAGTTTGAAATTTACTTCTTTTGCTTTGGAACAGTAAGAAACAAAATAGGACATTTATTAGTACCAACTGTGTACAGTTACGCATAAGGAAGAGACGAAGATCAATCAAACAAGGGAACTTGCCCTCAACATTTAGAGGCTAATGATGTCAGAGACATTTCCGACCAGAATAAAGGAGGGAGATGAAGGACGATTATGGTGATACTAGCAGCTGTGTACGCTGTGTCAGGCCAAGTTAATCTATTTACGTGTATTATCTCTTTTGATCCTCATAACGACCATAAGAGATAAGTAATGTTATCTCCATTCCACAGTTGAAGATACTGTGGTTTGGGGAGGTTAAGTAATTTGCCCCAAATCCACAGCTAGTACGTGATCAAGCTGGGAACTCAGATTCAAGCAGTCCTCCTGAGCCCATACTGTTTACCCAGTCACCAAATTGAGTACCCACTCTGTGCCAGGCAAGATGCTAGACACTTTAGGTAAGTCAACTGCTATTTAATTCTCAGGAATCTGCATCTTGGGTCTTTTCCTCCCATTTAGACATGAGGAAATTGAGATTTAGAGAGCCTAAGGCTCTGATCATCAACTCTGGGTTTGAACCCAGGTCTAGTTGGCTCTCAAACTGAATTATTTCCCATCACTTACTGGAAGAGTGTTTTTAGATGGTTCCTTAGGTGTCTTCCGAGTTCAAGAGAAAGAGAAACCATCTTATAGTTTTTGCTCATTTGAACACTGACGAATCTATAGGACTGGTCTTGGGCAAGACGTGGGAACAATCAGGGTTTCATCATTTCTCTTCTTCAGGCTCTCCAGGGACCAATTTCCCCTGCAGCCCTCAGGACTTCATTCCAATAGTTTATCACCCTGATTATGTACTTATATTTCTATATTTAATGAAAATGTTTTGTTTTAATTTGTAATATGACATTGTAGAGTTGTAAAGGAACTCAGAAATCGTCTACTCTGTCCTCTCAAAGATGAGAGGAAAGTTCTAGAGCAGCAAAGTCACGGAGTTGGTGGCGCAGATCAAGGTTCCCCCGTTCCCAAGCCGCTCTTGCCACTACACCACACGACCCTGTCCATTTCCACCTCCATGGTCTTCTTTCAGCCTCCTTATCTGCTTTTGTGTCTTTTGCTGTTTCTCTCTTGGAAAACAGAAACCAAACCCTGAAATCTTATCCTTGCCTTGAACTCTTATCACATACTAAAACTCTCCAAATCAAATTAGTAACTAAATCCTGTGAATTTTGCCTCACGTCTTTTAAATCTTTTCTATCCTTTTACACCTGCTCCCTAACTGATCCAGCTTCAGTTCTTTGTTTTCTCCAGTCCCTCCTCAAAACTTGGGGTGGGTCAAAAATTGCTTGGGATGCTTATTAAATATGCATTGCCAACTGAAGAGATTCCAGTTCAGGTCTGGTGTGGAGCCATGAGCTATAGATCTTATTTTTAGAAAGTTCTCTAAACACAACTCTTAAGTCCGCCACTTACCTGCCTGAAATCCTTCGCTGGCTCTCTGTACCAAAGTTTGAACTCTCACTCCCTTCCTATCTTCCTTGCAGTATAAGTTCCTGTCTCCTCCACACCCTTCACATACCACCTGGGTTCCAGCCAGCTCAACTACTCAAAGATCCGACCCCTCCTGAGCGCCAGGGTCTTCACGCAAGCTGTTCCATGTTTCGTTATTCTTCTCCTCCACTGTAGCTGGGCAAAATCCTATCCATCCTTCAAGGCCACTCTAGAATTCTCCCAGGCAGAATTCATCTCTTCCTTCTATATGCTCCCTCAGCAATCCAATCCATACTTAATTTTACTATAGAACATATTTCAGTTGGTTTGGATCAGTGGTTGTCAAAGTGTGGTCCCCAGACCAGCAGCATCAGCATAACAAGCGTGGGAACTTGTTAGAAATGCAAATTCTCAGAGCTACTGAATAAAAAACTCTGGGCTGGGGACGGAACCAAGCAATTTGTGGTTGTTTTTGTTTGTTTGTTTTAATTATTTATTTATTTTTGGCTGCATTGGGTCTTCCTTGCTGCGCGCGGTGTGGGGGGGGCTACTCTTCATTGTGGTGCTCTGGCTTCTCATTGTGGTGGCTTCTCTTGTTGCAGAACACAGGCTCTAGGAGCACAGGCTTCAGTAGTCGTGCCATGCACGCTCACTAGTTGTGGCACACGGGCTTAGCTGCTCCGCGGCATGTGGGATCTTTCCAGACCAGGGATTAAACCTGTGTCCCCTGCATTGGCAGGCGGATTCTTAACCACTGCACCACCAGGGAAGTCCCAGCAATTTGTGTTTTACCAAGCTACTCAAATCTCCAATTGGCTTGCTACCTCCTTTGCTAAACCTTGTGTTCCTTGAAGGCAGGGAGAGATAAGTTCTGAGCACCTAGCCTGGCCCAAGCAGTTGGTGGGTGCTCAATAGTGAATGAATGAAGGCAGAGCATCTTGGAAATCTTTAACGATGCCTTGCAGATCATACAATGGACCCTGCACTTTCATTGGATACATATCCATGGCTCTCTTTCATTCTGTTCTTGCATAGCCTTAGACCTCAGCTGACAGTCCCTCCTCTCCTCCTTCCTCCTGTCTGCCTCACTCCAAGCCAAGCACAGACCTCTGTCCTCAGTTATAATACAGATGTTATCAGTGACTAGCAGCTACGTGACTGCTGGCCTGCTGGCAGGCTTGTCTCTGTCTCTACATGTCTTTAAGTTTCATGAAGAACTTGGCAGAGCAATGGCTATCTGCCCATCTCCCTGCAGCCTTGTCCTTTGGCAGCTGAAATTTCTGGCAGGCATGTGGAAAATACCTGTTCATCCACAAAGTGATGGTGAAGTGAGGGGGTGGATAAAGGAGAGAGAGGAACAAAATATCTAGAAGCAGCATGATACAATGAGGTAAATTAACAGTATAAAGACCATAGGATTTGGATTCAGGCAACTTGGGTTCAAATCTCAGCTCTTCCAACATGTAAACGTGGACAAAATATTTAACCTCTGCAGTTCAGTTTCCTCAGCTATAAAATGCAGATAATATTGTCCTGCCTTACATGTAGTGACAATTAAATTAGGATGGCACACACATAAAATGCTTCTCATCATGTTAGCATAAAAGCCTTAATACCAGTTTTTGTGAGGAACGGAAACATACTGGGGTGATCCAGGGCTATGCCATATGACTATAGCACTTATCACCCACCCTAAATGGTATCCAGACAAGTGAATTTAAAAGCACCAATTCCTAAAGTGGCATGTGTGGTGAGATCTGCTGTGGGGATAGGACTGTAGGTCTGGGCAAGATGGGATGATAATGCCAACGACACTTTCTCATGAATTTGTTCAAGGGGGATAGTGGGGGAAACACCACCAAAGCTGAGTTGATCCAGTGCAGGGGACAGAGAAGAGGCAGAAATGCCAGGAGCCAGGCATTGCTCAAGGAAATACTGATCTGGATCAGATACGCTGACAATGCTCAGACTTATAAACCAAAGCCAACAGTCTCTAAGGTGTTTGCAGAGAAGCTACACAAAATACTATGATTTTATTAGCAACCACAGATACCATTTTTCACAACATTTTACACTTATCCTGTTTCACGTGAAGGAGGACTAATTCTAATGAATGATCAATAATAGATCTTAAATAATATCTTACTGCAAACATTAAGTTAAAATGCCCTACATAACAGTGCAGACCCGAAGCGCAGCTGGCAATTAAATACATGAAACGATGGTAAGTCAGTAGTGTTGGGAACCCATTTGGCTTTCCAGAAGGTGATATACTTTGCTCATTTTTGGGCAGTCCCAGAGCAGGATGCAAGCTGAATGGCAAATATGAACTAAAAAGGCTAAAGGAGACCCAATAGGACCAGTCTAGAGTCAGTTCTACAAGGAAATGCCAAGCCCCTTCTTTGTCACCAGTGATCTGCCACAGTTCCTACCCACGCTGTAGTATGATCACGTGGTCAGACCTCCTCCACCATCCAGCCTCCAGGACACGTGGAACACACCTTGGACACGTCTCCTTCTGAGAAGCTGGGAGGTGCGCAGAGGAAAGGTTACTCGCCAGAGGACATGGTACCAGATGGTGGCTGTCCTGGTAAACCAGCTCCAAAACCGAAAGACCATCATCTGGGCTGTGAGGAAAGGACCACGTGGTCAGGGACAGATTTCAGTTCTTACCTCTACACGAAAAAGGGCTCATATTAAAATCAACTGTGGGGAATTCCCTGGCGGTCCAGTGGCTAAGACTTGGCGCTTTCACTGCTGTGGGCCTGGGGTTCAATCCCTGGTCGGGGAACTAAGATCCCGCAAGCTGCTCGGCGCAGCCAAATTAAAAAAAAAAAAAAAAAAAATCAACTGTGGTAAACACCCTTAGAAATGCTGTTCTCAGATATTCCCACTCCTGGTTTTAGAGGCAGCTATGGAACGCACACGGCCTCCCCTGACCTTGGGGTCAGGAAGAAAGAGGCATCAGTATTCACAAAAGGAATGTGAATTCTGACCTAGGACTCTCTCAAACCTGCTTCAAGTGAAGGAAGGTGGCTCGCAACTCACTCATGCTGTCCCTCACCACTGTGAAGAGAATGGTTACAGCAACCTGGATTTTCTACAAATCAGACATGGCGTGAAGAGTGTGTGCCATGACCGACTTCTTTTCAACAGGCTCAAGTATATGTGCTCACATGTACACCGTGGTTACACGCCAGGGCAGAACCTTTTAACAAGAGGGTCTCCAGCATATCTTTCTGAGATGCTAAGTTGATGGGGGAGAGAGACTTTGCATCATCTGGCTAGGGAAAATGTCTTTAGCCCCTCCTCCTAATTCTTGCTCTTATCCTAGAAGACTAACCATCTATCCTTACTGAGCAAGATGCTGGTCTGGGGCCAGGGCATTCTCATCAAAAGGCATCTTTGATGTTCTTGAGCTGGCGCACAGCCAGGTCTACAGGGAGGCTGAACTTGAGGCTGCTAAGGCGGCTAAGCAGGTTGAGGGCACTCTCAAAGCCCGTGTGTGCCATGTAGCTCCAGGGCTGGTAGTGGGGCTCGATGAGCGACCCCGACTTGCAGATGAGGTTCACCCAGGACACGAGACGCTGCTCATTCAGCGCCATGCACACCAAGGCCTTCAGCTCCGAGTCTGCACTGCGCTTAAACGGGTCGTGCTCTGTCAGCACCACGTGGATGGCTGTCAGCAGGCTCTGCTTGGGCGTCACCACACTGCCTCCCATGACAGGCAGGGCGAAGGACTGTGAGAGCTTCCGGGCAGGGGATTCCACGTAAGCACGGCCGTTCTTAGCGTGGTAGTACTTTACAAAGAGCTCCCAGGGGTGCATGGCCTCGGGGGCCGAGGAGAAGGCCGGCAGCAGACAGGCGATGGGGGCCATGACGAGGCTCATCCCCGGTGAAGAGGCGTACAGTCCATGGGCCAGCAGGTCCCTCACGGCCACAGTCAGCTCCTTCCGCACAGCCACGGTCAGCTCATCCTTGCCTCCCAGAGAGAGGTCCTGGAGGCTGGCGGAGCTGCTGAAATGGTCGTGCGCCTGGTGCCTCAAGGCCAGCTGCTTCACCCTGTCTACTGACACCTCCAGCCTCTTCAATAAGGGAGAGTAGTCCCTGTCAGCCTGGTCCCTCTGCCACAGGGTCCGCGGGATCTGGCCCGTGGCGCAACCGAACTGGCTAACGGCGAAGATCTGGAGCACCGCCAGCACTCGCCGCATCAGGTGCAGCCCTGTCTCGCGAACGCTCTTCATGTCTTCTGCCTTCGCTGCGTAGAAAACACAACGACTCATCAGTGAGAGGCCACAGTGGTCAGAGGGACAGTCAGCAAGTCACCAACTGAGATCCAGTCTTGCTTCTGAGCCACAGTATGGGTCCCACGTGAAGCCAAGAGCCACCTAGGATGTCGCTGGGCTTACTTTTTTTGGTTAGTAATAATTATTTTGAGATATGATTCACATAACACTCAACTTACCCATTAAAAGTGTGTAATTCAGTGGGTTTAGTACATTCACAGAGCTGGGCAACCATCATCCCCCAAAGAAACCGTGTACCGTTGGCATTTCCCACTCCCTACTTCTCCCCGATCCCCCAGCCTAGGCAACCCCTAATCTACTTTCTGTCTCTATAGATTTGCGCATTCTGGAAGCTGTACTTACTTTTGCTGTTTCCTGGAGGTGGTCTGCTGCTGCCAGTTCTGCAGGAGCCGTTTCCTGTCTTCCCACTGGCCTTGCACTCACAGTGTCCACTACCTGTCTGTAATGGGCTTCCTACTTCATCTGCAATCAGAGGTTACAAAGAGGAGACATTTATTTAGCCTCTTTTTGGCAGATTTTTAAAGGCAAAATACTATTTACTAGTGCCTACCACGTGACAAGACTTTTACAAATAGTATTTCATCGTGTGGAACAGTGACTGGCACATACTAGCTGGCTCAATAAATAACTGCTGAGTGAAGGAAGCATGAATCATCATTTTATGGAGGAGGAGAGCGGGACTGAAGAGGTTAGGAACCTGCCTAACCTCATTAGTCTACGAAGGACACGAAGCCAGTAAGGGGCAGGGCTGAGATTTTAACTCTCTGGTTTTAAAATCCATGTCCTTTCTACTCCACCATGCTGGCTCCCTTACCGAGTGATCAAACCTCTTACATATACATCAAGGACTGGCACCTTTAGGTGTTAGTACTCAGAATACATATAATTATGATGACATCCAGCCACCCTTCTCTTTCCATCCCTCCTCTGACCTTGGATGAAGCTGATGAACATCTCGAGGTCTCGGATCTGAGTTTTCAGCTGCTCAACCAGCTGTTCTTTCACTCGGGCTGGGTTGACGATCTGAGCTACAGCTACATCCACACGCTGCCGAAGCTCCTCAGTGGACAGTGAACTGAGGTCCTCGTTCAGATTCATGTCCAGTTTCTTTATTAACTCATCGATGATCACCTATCAAGACTACAAGCCATGAGCACACCCTTTGGAATTTTCAGGGAGAGGGTTAGGAAGAAGGAGAATCTTTAGTAGTGTGCCTCCCTTCTACCCTTAAATGGAAATCAAATTTGTGAGAAAAATGGTGCAACTGCTGATCAAGGTGAGGGCACAGGCCTTTTACTTCTCTTATAGAAACAAGGACCCCTGGTTCCTCTCTGACAGAAATGGCTCCTCTCACTGCAAATTTTCTACCAGGCCAGGTAAATTTCACTCAAGAGAACAACAGTGTAAATGATCCAAAGTGGCTGATGATCCCAAAAGCCCCACAGTTAGCTTCCCCCATGGCCTCCAAGAGAATAAATACTGATTTCCCTTAGTTCCTAGTCCTTCTCATCCCTTCTTGCCTTACTACTCTAGGCAACTAAAGGAAAAGCTCTATGAAACATCCAGGCGTGTTACAACCAAAATATCCTAGTGACAGTATGAGGAACAATTTGAAAACCAGATAATGTATAACTCCAGCCCTGCCAGAAAAACAGCCACATCACAGCTCCAGAGAGACAAACATGTAACGGAGACTGTGTTTTGACTAACAGATTTACCTGTCTGCCCAGGTGTTGCTTTAATAAATACAGCATTAAAGTCAGGATTCCTGGAATATTTATTGACTGGTGCTGGGGGAGAAAACTAGTTTACATCATATGAAGTGCCCAAGTAGAACGGTTTCAATGATCAAATGAAAGAAATTATTGCTGTTATTATTATTTATTACTACTATTATTAATAATAATAGCCACCAAAAAAACAAAAAAGAGCTCTATCATCACATTAGAAAACTTTGGCATGTGTGTTTCCACATGTGAATAAAGACTGGTCCCAGGTAGCAGCAAAATTTCCCTTTGATATGGGCCAGCAGTGAGGCTGAGGGTGAGCAAGCTGGACAAGGCTGTCCTGTGAACGCTGGAAGGGACAAGGTAACCCGAGGCAGTGGAGGAGGCACCTCTGGATCTGCTCACCCGCTGCCTTTCCAAGACCACGGACTGTGGCAGGGAGTCGTAACTGCCTTCCTGATAGGCAAACGTCTCCAGGTCATCGAGCTGCGTTTTGAGCTGCAGTATCAGTTCCTTCTGCTTCTCCCTTTGGGTTTCCAGATGTTCCCGTTTCTCCTGCTCACTCTAAGATGGGAAAAGATTTGGGTTGATTTCACAGGAAAAGAAAAAGTCAGGGCACATTATGAATTCTCTTAAGCCAATAATGACTAGTAAAATATAAAATGTTTCCAAGTAACCTGAATGAAATACAGAATTCATGGGACACGTTAAAAAATGAGAAGAATTATTTCATCGGGGCAATTATTAAATGTGTGTTTTCTTTAAGAAAGTATTTGTCCTTCATTGGAAATAGGATATAAGTACAATGGAGCCTTTCATTAAGATTGCTTCCCACCCCCTCAGGTCTAGTTAAGATTGACACAATTTATCTCAGCCAAGACAGCCTCCCTGGAATTAAACATGCCATCCTCCAGAGCCAATTACCACAGAACAAGTCCTGAATACTTGCTACAGCCAAATTTTGCGAGAGAATCTGGAGGTAAGGGTGTACAGAGAGGCTTTATAACTCATACCAGTTTTCTTAAGGTCCAAAGCACCTCCAATATATTGCAAAATCAAACAAACACAGGTACCTGGGGCAGTGAAAAAAATTCAAAGCCAAGTAATAGGGGTGAGAAGGTAATTAGGTTTAAAAAAAAAAAAAAAAAGTTCGATAAGGTTCCCTGACCAGTGACGCCTTTTCTCACTGTTGGCCACCCGGTAGTTTCTACATTTAAATGATGAAAAACCCTTCGGAGAGGTAAAGCCTTGCCAATGTATTCTCAAAAACTGGTTCTTCCTTGCCTTTTTTGAGTATCAAAAACAAAACAAAGCAAAACTAGCAAATCATTTACAGGTGTAAGGCTGCATTTTAAACTAGATGTCTATAATCTTAAAATGGTACTTACCAAGGCCTCCAGAAGTAAGGTATGAGAGAAAACAAATGAAAAACAACAAATTAACTGTTTGTTTAGCTATTTAAAAAGCAATCCCCTTGCTTTAGCTTTGCTCAATATGAAAGCAAGCCTTTTCTCAGGGGAAAAAAAAAGCTGCCTCTCCAAAGCTTTCCCAGTGTCATGGTTTTTTCTTAGAACCCTGTTCTTCTCCCCAACTTAGTGGCCTAGCTATTCTTTAAGAGGTTTCCTCGATTTCCCCAGGCAGAACCAATCACTTCCTCTGTATTTTGTACACACTTCTACTCTAGCTCATGTCACATTATAATGATTTGTTTAGGATTCTGTCTCCCCAAGTCTATGAACTCCTTAAGGGCAAAGGCCCTGACTACGCCCAGGGCCTAGCACTGTGTCTGGCACAGGGTAAGCTCTCAGTACACATTTGCTGTATGTTACTGAATGCAATCAGGTTCAGAAGGCCACATTCCAAATAATGAACTCTTTCGGAAAAAGTTGTCTAACCAGCCCAAAGGGAAAGGACTAGGGAAACTTAGTTTTTGTTTTCATTGTATCCCATCCCAACATTATGAAGCCAAAGAAGAAAGAAACCAGCCATAGATCCTGATTCCATTTTCATGACTGTGTCTGCTGAACGCTGTTACCTGCCACGGTAATTACTGAGTATGCGATTTGCTGGAGTGTGGGCAAACATGTTTACTAGGTGAGAACAATAAGCTCTGGTGCAAGGCAGGAAATAACAGAAATAATTTCCAGTATGAAGCGAGAGAAAATACTGGTTAAAAAAACAAAAAACTGGAACTGATAAGTAGTAAATTGTTTGGTTCTAACATGTCCCCACTTTGGCACCACCTGTTCATGTGTCAATATATGCACACAAGATTACAGCTGCTTATTAGGTGTTTCGAGCGCTACAGTTTTGTTTTTTTTTTTAAGTTGTACACTGTTTCTAAAAGTAAAAACGGACAACCAAAAGAGCACCACATCCACAACAAACCTTTGGTGCTCCTCACTCCTGAACAGGGCCTGACCACAGAAATTTTTTCTATCCTACCTGTTCCTTAAAAGTCTGGCAATTTGGGCTTCCCTGGTGGCGCAGTGGTTGAGAGTCCGCCTGCCGATGCAGGGGACGTGGGTTCGTACCCCGGTCCGGGAAGATCCCACATGCCGCGGAGCGGCTGGGCCCGTGAGCCATGGCTGCTGAGCCTGCGCGTCCGGAGCCTGTGCTCCGCAACTGGAGAGGCCACAACGGTGAGAGGCCCGCGTACCGCAAAAAAAAAACAAAAAAAAACAGTCTGGCAATTTGAGGACTTGTGCAAGGAGCTGTGGGTATACGGAAAGAAGGGTGGAACAGTAAACACAGGACTGCACTGGAGACATTTCAGATTAAAATAAGCAAGTCAGTTTCTGCTACTGATAAGTCTTCTTGGTTAAAATCAATTTAAGCGGGAAGAAAGCCACATATGGGTTGTAACCTAAATAAGAAGGTGGAGAAAAAACAGCGAGTCTCTTCCAACAAGCCATCTACAATTGTGCACTTCCAGAGGTTCAAAGACTGTAAGGAAACGTCCCCTGGGGCTGTCATACAAATTCTCAGCATTCAGTGTCGACTGGCTGAATGAATCTTGTCACAGTTACCAAAGGGGCTTCCTTTAGAATACCTGGTTATTAAGTAGGATGGGGAAGGAGTTTTAAAATACCAGCATTAGGAAATTCACATAATTAGGACTTGTGTTTTTTACAATTACTAAGAGACCTTGCTGTTCACCAAAGCTCTCACCCAGACAAGAGTCTGAAGATTAAAGACATTCTCTAGATTCTAGGAAAGCACGGACAGGGAGTACATCTAAATTTCCACGGCTTTCAATTCACTTGCTCTTCTCTAAGCAATTTTCTCAATCTCCAGGCTCGGAGAACTCTAACAGCAAATATGCTGAGGGCTTAGGTTCTTGAGGCGACGGCAAGGTGAGCGGGAGCAGCACTGTTTCAGTTGGCTGCTCTGTTGCCCTCTGAACACTCTCCTCGCTCATCCCTCTTCTGCCTCTCACCTCATCACACCTGCATCTCTTCCCACACCTTTGGTGAACACCTCTCACCGTCAGCTTCCCAGGCCTCTCTGTCCTCTTGCCTTTCAGCAGGTCCCGAACACCTGTCTGGTCTCTTCTGGGACACGCATAGCCACCTAGACGAGCCGGCTTCTCACCAGTGCTACCTCCGTCCGCGTTAGCATCGCCGCCCACCTACCCCTCTATTCCCATATCCCTCGGGGCGCGGCCCCAGCTGTTCACCTGGTCCTCGCCCCGCAACCGTGGCCGGTCCCCCGGCATCCCGTCGCCATCATCGCTGGCGGGGTCCTCTGGGCTCCCGTAACCCAGGACGTGAGGGCAGCCGCGGAAAGCAAAGTCTTCGAGCTCGCTCAGGAGGCGCTGCTGCTCCGCCGGCGCCCCGCGCACCACCTGCCGCAGGCGGAACTGCACTTGCGCGAAATGCGAGGACAGCGCGAGCAGCGCCGAGTCCAGCCGCCGCCGCTCGGCCCGCAGCCGCCGCAGCGTCCGGCCCGGCGAGTCCGGTGGGGAGCCCGGGGCCGCTCCGGGCTCCTCGACCGCCGCCTCTTCCGAGAACGCCGCCGCCCCGGGCCCGGCCTCTGCCACCGCCCCCACCGGCGCCCAGCGCACTGCCTCGCACGGCGGAAGCGACTCCTCTTCCTCCTCCTCTTCGTCCTTCGCCTTTGGTCCAACGGCCGCTACCCCCGTTACCGGTTCAGCAGCCGCTTCGAGAGCCGCCATGTTTCAGGAAACGCCGCCGGACGTCAGCCACTCCCCCCCTGCTGCCATGGCAACGCCGCGCTGGCTGGGAAACCCGGAGGAGCGGATGGGCGGGGCCCAGACGTCACCTAGTTCAGACGTCATCCAGGGCCGGCCTTCCCTCGGGACTTAATTCTGGCCAGTAGTTTTTTTTTTTTTGAGCGCCTGCTGTGTGTCGGACACTGAGTGTGCTAAGCATTGGAGAAACAGGCGAATGAAGTCGGGACAAGCCCTTCCATGTGTATCGACCTCTAATCCCGGCGGGCGGGTCGTCTATTCCTAACGTGTGTATTTCTGGAGACCCCAAGACGTGAAGGGCTGCAGGGACTATGCTCTCCCAGAGTCTCTTTGGAGTGCGGATCCCTTGGCTTAGGCCACGTTCCCACTTCTTCTAAACCCTTTCCCCAACCATGTAAGGAGAGGCAGCTGCTGGGGGCGTCCCCAGGATCTAAAGATAGCGGCCCCTGCCTCGGATTCCAAACGCCTTGGGGCAGCGGGAGCCGCCATGGCACGGTAAGTGCTTCTGGCCGCCTCTTTCACTAGAGATTCCTTTCCCCACGTTTTCTGGGCGCTCCAGGTTCTGCGAGGTCCCATGGGAACCCCGGACCCCAGGTCTCTGTATCCTTGGGGTGCTGAGGGGAAGTGTGACCTGAATGTTCTCCATAACTCCCTACCTCTCTACTCTCGCACATTCGGTTCTCCTCAGGTTCATCTTCACCGCACACCCCAGTCTCGTCACTCGCCTTCCACCCCCTTCTGTCTTATTTAGCTCCGCTTTGACCGTGCTGTAGCATAAAACGTCCCTGTATTTTCCCCAACCTTTCCCAAATGCCCTCAGTCTTCCCTCTCGCACCCCTATGAAGCCCCACCTCAACTCCTCTTCAGGCAGCATGCTCGGACCCTGTGGTATGACAGGCCCAAGTATGTGTTCATGGAGTTTTGTGTTGAGGACAGCACCGATGTCCACGTGCTCATCGAAGACCACTGCATTGTGTTCAGGTAATCCCCTCCCCCTCCACTGCTGCCAGGGCCTGGCTTCTTGGGAACGTTTCCCTTCTCCTAATGCCCCCACACTCCACACTCAGCCTCCTCGTCTCCTTAGCTGCATTGTCTCCTCAGCTGCAAGAATGCCGATGGAGTGGAGTTTTATAATGAGATTGAGTTCTATGCCAAGGTGAACTGCAAGGTAAGGGTGGGGTGGGGCAGTAAGGGCTGGATGGGAAGGTTGCTTGGGAAATGGAGATTCATTCTAAACCTCAGACCCTAAGAATGATGCTCTCTATCTGGCAGGACTCGCAAGATAAGCGCTCTGGCCGCTCCATTACTTGCTTTGTGAGGAAATGGAAGGAGAAGGTGGCCTGGCCCCGACTCACTAAGGAGGATATCAAGGTGGGTGTGCGGGAAGTGGCCGCTTTTTCTCCTGTGCTCTCTATCTGTGTACCCAGGTTGACAAGTTAGGTCTGGGACTTGCCCTTGGCTCCTTTCCCACCAACATTCAGTTACTCACCAGGTCCTGCCTATTTGACCTCTTAAATAGAATCCATGATTTAATCTCTTCCTAATTCAGGCCTTATCCATTACTGGGTGAGGTTTGTTGCATATTTTCAGCACCACCCTCAATCCATCCTCTGCATTCCTCGCAGCGTGGTCTGTTTAAAACACACATTTGACCCTGTCACTTTTCCTCTTAAGACCCTCCAGTGGCTTCTTTTCCCCTAAAAGTTGAAAATTGGCTGCATGCTGGCTGGATCTGCCTCTCAAATTTGTTTTAGCAGTCTTCAAAGTGTTAAAAATTATTTTGATGGGCTACTGACATTTAAAAATGTGGAGATTTCAGACATCCCTGATGGCTCAGTGGTTAAGAATCCACCTGCCAATGCAGGGGACATGGGTTGGAGCCCTGGTCCTGGAAGATCCCACTTGCTGTGGAGCAACTGGGCCTGTGCGCCACGACTACTGAGCCTGCGCTCTAGAGACCGTGAGCCACAACTACAGAGCCCACATGCCACAACTACTGAAGCCTAGAGCCCGCGCACCGCAACAAAGAGTAGCCCCTGCTTGCCGCAACTAGAGAAAGCCTGCGCGCAGCAACAAAGACCCAAGACAGCCATTAATTAATTAATTAATTAATTAATTATTTTAAATGTGGAGATTTCACCTTTCAGCCGGAACCGCCATTTTCCAGTAACTCACCAAAATGACCAACACAAAGGGAAAGAGGAGGCCACCCACTATATGTTCTCTAGGCCTTTTAAAAAACATGGAGTTGTTCCTTCCATGCGAATCTACAAGAAAGGTGGTATTGTAGATATCAAGCGAATGGGCTCTGTTCAAAAAGGAATGCCCCACAAGTGTTACCATGGCAAAATTGCAAGTTTACAGCATTACCCAGCATGCTGTTGGCATCAGTGTAAACAAACAAGTTAAGGGCAAGATTCTTGCCGAGAGAATTAATGTGCATATTTAGCATATTAAGCACTCTGAGAGCAGAGATAGTTTCCTGAAATGTGTGAAGGAAAATGAGCAGAAAAAGAAGGAAGCCAAAGAGAAGGGTACTTGGGTTCAGCTGAAGCACCAGCCTGCTCCACCCAGAGAAGCACACTTCATGAGAACCAATGGAAAGGAGCCTGAACTGTTGGAACCCATTCCCTATGAATTCATGGCATGATAGCTATAAAGAAAATAAAAGATCTAGATGGTAAAAATGAATAAATACATAAACAAAAATTTTTTTAAAAATGTAGAGATTTCACCTAAAAATCCAGATTCTCAGCTTCTCTTGGAAACTGGAGACTCTGGCCACGCTGGTCTAAATTCCCAAATGCCTAGAGTTGGAGCTTGAAATGGGGCATGCATTCCACTTGACTTCACTCCTTTTCGTTATCTCCCTGACAGTCTCAGGCATTTGAACTTGTAGCTTCTGCCATTTGGGTTAGAGTCTAAGCACCATAGCATGGCGTATAAGCTGATGACTTGGCTGTTCTTTCCTTCTGCAGCCTCACACCTCTTTACTCTCTGCCTCAAATGTCACATTCCAGCCACAGCATACTGCTTGCAGCTGTCTTCCACACGCCAGGCTATTATGCACCTCAATACCTTTGCTCAAGCTATGCCTTCTTCCTGGAAAGTCTCCATCACCACTACCTTTGCCCACCTAACCCCTGCTTATCCTTCAAGGCCCTGCTACTCCAAGAAGGCTGGCTTCCTATAATATCCCCTACAGAACCCGCTGTCACACTTTCCACACTGTATTATAATAATTTATTTACATTTCCCTTCCCTACTTGCTTCTTTTTTTTAAAATAAATTTATTTATTTATTTTGGCTGCATTGGGTCTTCATTGCTGCGCGCGGGCTTTCTCTAGTTGTGGCGAGCGGTTCTTTGTTGCGGTGCGCAGGCTTCTCATCGCAGTGGCTTCTCTTGTTGCAGAGCACAGGCTCTAGGCGCACGGGCTTCAGTAGTTGTGGCACTCGGGCTCAGCCGCTCGGCGGCATGTGGGATCTTCCCGGACCGGGGCACGAACCCACGTCCCCTGCATCGGCAGGCGGACTCTCAACCACTGCTCCACCAGGGAAGCCCCCCTACTTGCTTCTTGATGGCTGAGACTGTGTAGTGAACATTTTAAAAATCCCAGTGCCAACCACAGTATGTGTTCAATAAATACCTGTTAAATGATCGAGTAAATAACTTCTTTCCCTGTCTACATGTGGGAACTTGGAATATGGGCCTCAAAAGGTTGTCCCTGATTCCAGGGAATGCTGCTTGGTTGACTCCTAGGATGCTTTATGATACAGTTATCTTTCTAGATGTGTTATCTTTCTAGTCAGCTGGCTCCTGGAGGGCAGAGTTTCTATGCTTTTCCATCCCCTACAATGCCTGGCATTGTGCTTGGCACTTAGTAAGTTCTTGGTAAATCTTTGCTGCTGCTGCTGCTGATGACGTGGCAGCCTGGAGGGGGGTTAACTAAAGGGGTGCTGTTGGGAAGATGATATCCCCATTGACCCTCTTTTCCCCAAGCATGCTCCCACACACATACCCACACTCATCTATGCGCTTCTGCTGCTGCCTTCCTGGCCTGTGACTCTCTGTGCTTTCCTCCTGCAGCCAGTGTGGTTGTCTGTGGATTTTGATAACTGGAGAGACTGGGAAGGGGATGAAGAAGTGGAGCTGGCTCAGGTGGACCATTACGCAGAGGTAATGCTGTTTTCTGCCTATCTCAATCATTCTCTGTGACTCTCTGCACACATTGCTCTGGAGGATTGTCGTCAGGGCTAGGCAGAGGGATATGATCTCCCCAGGCAGGTTGCTCGATGGTTTGATAGTCTTTATGTTTTGCGCAATGTTTATTTAGTAGGGATGAGAGAAGTGAATATTGCTAGTGAAATTGTATACATAGATTCATTCACTGTTTAGAGTAGAGCCTGTGTTCCGAAAGAGTTTGGCAAAAGCTTTTCCTACTTTTCTGTAATTCTTGTTCTCTCTTCTGTTTTCTTTGTGTATGTGTGTGTGTTTTTCCTGAGCCAGATAGCTTCATGGGAAGCTCAAACTACGCAGTATAAAAATTCACATCACAAAATAAATCACCAATCCCCAATAAATTGCACCGTGCTATACGATATTTGGTTTCTGAATTTCAGCTGTTTATTCAAGTTGCAAAAACACTAATAGTAACCCGGATTAGTAAGGAGGTGTGTGTGTCTAAATTTCCTTTTAAAAAGGGGGTCAATTTCATATACACACTGCTATAATTAAAATAGATAACCAACAAGGACCTACCGTATAGCACAGGGAACTCTGCTCAATATTCTGTAATAACCTAAATGGGAAAAGAACTTGAAAAAGAATAGGTATAACTGAATCACTTTGCTGTACACCTGAAACGAACACAACATTGTTAACCAACTGTACTACAATATAAAATAAAATTTTTTAAAAAGGGGTGTATCAATTTACTTTTCTTCAGTTCATTCCAGTGATGTATTAGGGGCTTTAAAGCTGGGGCAGTTGTTTGCCTGGGACCATTTTCCTGTGGTCTGTCAATATGCAGGTTGCTCTTCATTTGCCCCTCTTCTCTCTCGTGACTACTTTTCTCTTCCCACCAGCTTTTGGAGAAGGTCAGGACCAAGAGGCCTCCCCCTGCAATGGACGACCTGGATGTAAGTAAAGCCTGCTCCTTAACCTTTCCCTTTCCTTTTAGCCCTTAAAAATAAGATACTAGAAAGCTCCTGTCCCAGTCTCTAGCACATAGTGGTTCTCAGTGCATGTTAGCCAAATCTGAATTTGACACAGGAGGTCAAATGTTCTTCTCCATGCTCTAGAAAACCCCAGTAAGACCCTTGTCCCTTCCATCTCCCCTTCTGCTTCTCCAATCTAGGGCAGACCTGGCCCTGTTGACTATCTTTATAGCTGTAAGGACCAGTAGCATTCGCTGTAATTCTGGCATTAAATGATGCATGGCACAGTGCTGTTTACTGAATACAAGTGTCTTATTTTATCATACAAAATTTAAATCCTTCCGTGTTAGGCTCCCAAGAAGTTGTGTGATTCAGAAAATTACCAAAGAAAACCTGGAGAGCTGGAGGGAGTGAGCAGCATTTGTGAACATAAATGTCCACTCTTCGCAGACTCTACAGGGGCTTTTGTCTTTTTTTTCCCCCCAGGATGATTCTGACAGTGCGGATGCAACAAGTAATTAACTTTCTGTGACAGCAGAGCTGGGGAGGAAGCTGTGGCTATCTTCCAGTCACTCTAACAAGCTAGGTCCTGGGTCTTTCTCAGCTCTTTGGCTGTGCGCCAGGGTCCTCTGGGATCTCCGAACTTACCTAGAAGCTCTTTATTAAGGGTCCTCCTTCCTGCTTTATTTCTATTTCCTAGGCACTTGACTATGGCTGCTGCGTCAGATGACAGGATAGGAGAGGAGTAGACAGGTGGGGCTTCTGACTCCCTACCAATTGGCTGTAATCTTTGTGTTTGGGCCACTCATCAGGGCTTTCTGGAGTATTTGAGCCTCTGTGTGTGTGTATGTGTAAGAGCAAAAGCCATAGAAGCAGCATATAGATTATAATAAATCTGTAGGAACTGTTCTGTGTCTCTTTCCTATTTGTACTTCTTCCTCCTAGAGGCAAGCCTCTTCCTGTCTATAGCTCCTCTTCAGTGGAGAGGTGGGTGTCAGAGATCCTGGCCCTTACTGTCGAGATTGGAAGAAGAAAGATATTGAGAGCAGACTTGTAACCAAGCTGGGGAACTTTCCCATGCCCAGATCTTCAGAGCAGAAACCAGCCTTTCACTGTATAGCTAATACTGCCACCTCTAGAACCAGCCAGAAACCCACCTTAGCTTCCTGCATACTCCACAAATATCTTTACATGTTTTTTTTTTTTTTGCACTTAAAAAGCAGTTAGGCCATTTATTGGCACTAGGAGAGCATTCCTTTAAATATCTTTACACTTTTTGTTTTGTTTTGTTTTTTTGTTTGTTTTTCAGTACGCGGGCCTCTCACTGTTGTGGCCTCTCCCGTTGCGGAGCACAGGCTCCAGACGCGCAGGCTCAGCGGCCATGGCTCACGGGCCCAGCCGCTCCGCGGCATGTGGGATCCTCCCGGACCGGGGCACGAACCCGCATCCCCTGCATCGGCAGGCGGACTCTCAACCACTGCGCCACCAGGGAAGCCCTATCTTTACACTTTTAAAGCTAATTGTTACATTAGTTAATGCCTATGTCTGTTTACTACTCTATTCATCCGCTACCCCATTCATCCATAAACATTTTCTGAGGGCCCAGTGTGTACTTAAACTGTGACTTAAACAAAATGCAACACTCAGGCTTTGCCCTTGAATTCATGGTAAAGTACTGAGATTTGTTAAAAAAAATTAAAATCTAAAGTTTATTTCAGTAATATAGGGACATAGTTTAAAAAATTAAATAGTATAGAAGGGTCTAAAATTTAAAGTAGAATTTGCACTCCCTCAATAGCTGTAACCACTGTTAACAATTTCTTCAATAAATTTATATATTTATGTCTAGATCTTTATATCTATATTTATACCTGTTATAAATTTCATAATACCTATAATTAATATATAATTATATAGTTATATATAAAACATACAACATATCTGGAACATATACAATATCATGTACTATTTATATACAGTACAATATATCAATATATTAAAATTTAACACATATAGGCAAATGCAATGCGTCTGTGTGTACACAATGGGAATCATACTATTAATATACATCTTGTACCCTGCTTTTTTTCACTTAGTATATATTGGAGCTCTTTCTAAATCAGTATACATAGATCTGACTCTTCTTTATGGCTACATGGTATTCAGTTGAATATATTTTCCATAATTTAACTGGTTCCTTATCAAGGGATATTTAAGTTGTTAGTCTTTTTCAGTTTTCAAACAAGGCTGCAAGGAACAGTTTAAAAAGTAGATCCTTGGGCTTCCCTGGTGGTGCAGTGGTTGAGAGTCCGCCTGCCGATGTAGGGGACACAGGTTCGTGCCCTGGTCCAGGAAGATCCCACATGCCGTGGAGCGGCTGGGCCGGTGAGCCATGGCTGCTGAGCCTGCGCGTCAGGACCCTGGGCCCCAAAAGGGGAAGGCAAAAAAAAAAAAGGGCCCCGCAACCCAAAAAAAAAAAAAAAAAAAAAAAAAGTAGATCCTTACATGTTTGGCAAGAATATCTGTAGGGTAAATTTCTTTTTTTTTTTCCCGGCCACACCACGTGGCTTGCAGTATCTTAGTTCCCCAACCAGGGATTGAACCTGGGCCCTGGCAGTGGAAGCACCAAGTCCTAACCACTGGACCACCAGGGAATTCCTATAGGGTAAATTTCTAGAAGTAGAATTGCTAGGTCAAAGAGCAGATAAACATTTTGAAAGCTGTTGCCAAGTTGCTTTTAGATGAAATCATACCAATTTTCACTTCCACCAAGAGTGCTCCATTCTCCAAAACCTTTTAGATATTTGCCAAGATAAAATTATACTTGGTTTAATTTGCTTCGTTATTTTTCTTTCTGGCCACGACGCGGGACTTGAAGGATCTCAGTTCCCCAACCAGGGATTGAACCCGGGCCCTCAGCAATGAGAGTACAGAATCCTAACCACTGGACCGCCAGGGAATTCCCTGGTTTAATTTGCTTTAAATTATGAGATGGCTCATTGTTTATTAGTGATTAATATTTCTTTTAATGTGCTCTGTCCATGTCTTTTGCCCATTTTGATATTGACATTAGTTCTTAAACTTAAAAAATAACATAATGCAAATCTGTATTTGTATCGTGCTTTACAATTTACTAAGTATTTTAATATCATCTCATTAAAATTTTTGAACTTCACATCAACCTTGTAAAATAATTAAGTCTTCTCTTAATAGGTGCTCAAACAGGTCACAATAAGTGGCAAAGCTGGGACTTGAACTTCTATAGCATATGTCCCCTTGCCTACAATTCTGAAAACCGAAAATTTCTAAAAACTGACCTAAAAAAAAAAGTTAACACCAAAACTCATCCGGCAGCAAAACATGACCTAAAATGATGTGAGGCTATTTATAGTCTTTGTTTATTCCATTTAGCGTATTTATTTCACAGCATAAATATCAATACGGAGTTGCTCCAGAGTTCCAAATGGAACACATTACGTAACACATGGGTATGGTCTGCATTACTGCCTAAAATCAGAAAAACCCTATATTCTGAAACATCTGGGAACTTCAAGCTTTTTATTACTTGATTTAAAAGAGCAGAAAGTTAATCTTAACTTTTAATCCATTTAACGTTTTAAGGCACCGATTGCAGTTAAACTTGTTAACTTCTGTTAACCTCTTTATTTGCACTGTCCAATCCCGTAGCAACGGTCACGCGTGATTACTGAGTACTTGAAATGTTGCTAGTCCGAACTGAGAGGTGCTGTAAGTGTAAAATACATAACAGGTTTCGAAAATCTTGTACGGGGGGCAAAATACTCACTTATTTTAAAATACACATTACATGATGAAATAATATTTTGGATATGGTGATTTAAATAAAAACATTGGGACTTCGCTGGTGGCGCAGTGGATAAGATCCCAGTACTCCCAATGCAGGGGGCCGGGTTCTATCCCTTGTCAGGGAACTAGATCCCACACGCATGCTGCAACTAAGAGTTCGCATGCCACAGCTAAGGAGCCCGCCTGCCGCAACTAAGACCGAGTGCAACCAAATAAATAATTAATTTAATTAAAAAAAAAAAGAGTTTTAAAGAAAAATTAACGTGTGGCTTGCATTACATTTCCATTGGGCGGCGTTGCTGTCTATCCAAGCCAGTACCATCACCACTTCTATCAGGCAGACTTCCGCGGGGCCGAATTACGTACATCCCTGGGGTCCAACGGGGCCAAACAAAGTGCTATGACAAGTTCAGGCCGCAGTTTTGTTCTGTCTTGTCTTCTGGTTTTCTTCAAAGTCTTAAAATAGTTCCTCAGCAACCCCGAGCGCCTGCACTTCGCGTTTTCAATAAATTTGTCCAAACTACACGCCGTTCTTAGCCCTTTTGCTTCTGCGCAGAGACGCGCCCGGAATGAAGATTGTCCCGCTTCGCTCTCCGTCCGGCGCCAGGCGTTTCTGTGTGCAAGGTTACCGGCGTACTGGGAGACAGCAGCGATGGCGTTCCAGTGTCAGCGGGACAGCTACGCCAGGGAGGTGCGGCCGGCGGGCGGGAAACCTGATGCTCCGAGCGGGTGCGGCGGTGCGGGGAAGAGGGCGCCGCGTGGAGGGGGCACCGAGCTGGATTCAGTCCCGGTGCGCTGAGGGTTGGGGTCGGGGCTTACTCTCGCATCCCTCTTTACCCAGTTCACCACCACCGTGGTCTCCTGCAGTCCCGCGGAGCTGCAGACCGAAGGAAGCAACGGCAAGAAGGAAGTGCTGAGCGGTTTCCACGTGGTGCTGGAAGACACGCTGCTTTTCCCCGAGGGCGGGGGACAGGTACCAGGCCCGTCCTTTCCCCTTTCCTTCTCCCCCCTCCCAGGAAGCCCCTAATTCTTTTCTGAGCAGGTCGGAAATGGTCTCCTGGTCCTCAGTCCCAGCTGTAATGAATACAGATGGAAATTAGTTCAATTCAGTTCATTTGTTCATTCAGCAGGTATTTATCAACAAATAGTTATCTGTCCGTAACAAATGCTGGGTACTAATTCAAGCTCTAAGGATAAAAGCTGAACAAGAAAATGTCTTTGCATACGTAGAATATTTATTGGAGAAAACAGACAAAACGGTGAATAGATAAGTAGTATGCCAGTATGATAAATGCTATAAAGAAAATTAAAGGTCGAGAGAAAGAGAGTGATGGGATGGCCTCCTAGGTAGGGGGCAAGTTATTTCAGTCGAGAACGAAGTGAGGTGAGGGGGTAAGCCATTGCCATTATCTAGTGGTGCTGGTGGGGGGTGGGGAGTATTCCGGGGAGGGAGAATAAGTGCAAAGGACCTGAGGTAGGAATTCGATTAGGGTGTTTGGCATGGACTGAAAAAGTTTCCCCTGAAGGAGCACAACAGAGGGCAGACTTATCAGTGCTGTGATGGGGTAGGGGCAAGGTCCAATGAGAAAATGGGAAAGGAGAATAATAACACCAAAGGTGGGCATTGTGGGAGAGGCTTTCCCAGCCAAAAGAATAGCACAAAGGCAGGGAAACCTGTAAGAATCTGACAAGTCTAGTTAACTGCAAAATAGTCCCATATAGTTGGAGCCTCTGGTGTGTGTTGATGACAGGCTGGAGATGGCTTTGGAAAGGTAAGTGGGGGCCAGTTCAGAGGGCCTTGAAAGATGTGTTAAGGTGTGTGGACTTCATTCAGGAAGCTATGGTGAGCCATGGAAGTACTTAGGCAAAGAAATGATGTGAGAGAACATATTCAGTAAACTTGATTGTGAGAAACTTCCAATTTTTCCCAGCATGGAGGTTTTCTGATCTGCTAAAGGAAAACCTGTGCCCTAAGGTATCCATAGCAGGTCTCATTTTATATATCACCTCTTCCAGGAAGTCTTCCCTGATTCCCCAAGACTGTTAGGTTCCTTTTCTTTGAGCTCCTCTAAAACAATGTACTTTTTTGAACTATGGCATGTTGTAGATCATATTGCAGTTGCCTGTTAGCATGTCTCTATTCTTCTCCAGACTTTTCAGTTCCATGAGGGACCATGTCTTATTTACATTATAGTCTTGGATAGGTACAGTGTCTTGTAAGCAGTTGATATTTTGTAATATTTGATATTTTTAATGAATATTTTTGAATTTAATTCTCGTAGTAGTGTAGAAGATAGAGTGGAAGAAAGGAGAAAAATTCAGGTCAGTTTGGAAACTATTGAAAGATAAAAATCTAAACCGAGGCAATAAAATGAGGATTAAGTTTCTTTGGGTTTTACTAAAATTTTGGTTGCTGTAGTTACATTTTTTTTTGAAATTTTATTTATTTATTTGTTTTCGAGCTCCATGTGCTATACAGTAGGTTCTCATTAGTTATCTATTTTATGCTGTAGTTACAATTCTTGTATTCATTCTGTTATTTTGTTCTGAAGAACAAAAGGTGTTCAAGTGAAGAGTATAGAGAGAGTCCCCTCATGAGCAAAGTGGACCACCTCACTTGGCATTGCTTCTTCTCCCTTAGGGAATCTCAAATTCTGGGTGTGTTTCTCACAAACTTTTGCTAGAGGGTCTTTGTGTCCAGGAGTCAGGGTGAGCCCTGCCTGCTACCACCAATTATTTTTACTTCTTTCCCCAGCCTGATGACCGTGGTACAATCAATGACATCTCTGTGCTGAGAGTGACCCGCCGGGGCGCCCAGGCTGATCATTTCACCCAGACACCTCTGACCCCTGGGACTGAGGTACAGGTCCGGGTGGACTGGGAACGGAGGTTTGACCACATGCAGCAGCACTCAGGTAGGTGGGGTGGGATGGGGCAGTTGCTGCGTGTGGGAATGTCACGATGATTGAGACGTGGTTTGGGTCCTCTAGGAGTTAACCTTTTGGAAGAGACAGACATATTCAGAATCAGCTCCAGTTCAGGCAAGATGTGATAAATGTTATAAAAGCAAAATGAGCCGTTAAAGTAAAAGTATTAGAATAACTGCTGGATTTAAGTATTATAACTTCCCACTTGATATCTATATCTGTAGATGTCTCATAGCCTTCTTAAACTCAAAATGTCCAGAATGGAATTTAAAAGCCACCCCCTCCCCCAGATCTGGTCTTCTCGTCGCCTTCACTATGTTCAGTGCATGGCCAGCATCCACCCAGTTGCTCAAATCCTGGAAGTCAGTTCAGACACTGCTTTAGGGATAGCCAGGCAATCTGAGTCATGTCGGTTTATTTTCGAAATACTTCTCTATCTGCTTCCACTGTCAACACAGTCATCCTCGTCCCAGCTCTCATTGTCTCTCCCCAGCCCTCTGTAACAGCCTCCCGGCTAGTCTCCCCATGTTCATTCTTGTCTCTTTGCAACCCATTCTCCACAAAGCAGCCAGAATATTTTTTAAAAATGAAAGTCTGATCAGGCCACTCCCCTGCTTTAAAGCTTTTCAAAGGCTACCTGTAGCTCATGATGAAGGCAAACGTCTTGCCATGGGGCGCAAGGCCTGCCTGGGCTGGCGCTCATCTACTGCTCCAGCCTCCCCCGGTGCTCCTGCCTCCCCGCTCCCTGCATCTTGGCCATGCTGGCCTTCTCTCCATTCCTTGAACACATCCTGCTGCTTTCCTCCTTCAAGGCCTTTGGCTGTCTTGTTCCCTTTGCCTTCACAGTTGATTCCTTTTCCTCCCCGCTGTCATCGATCAGGGATAGCGCTATATCTCTAGTGCCAAGCCCTGTGCCTTGCACGTGGTAGGCACTTGATAAATTTTTGTTGAGTAAATGAATCTGGCACAATTAGAACTCGAGTTCAAATCCTGCCTCTGACGAGCTACTGTTGCCTTGGAAAGTTGTTTGATTTCTCTAGACCTTGGTTTCCTCATTCAAGAAATGGCATCATAGGGCTTCCCTGGTGGCGCAGTGGTTGAGAGTCCACCTGCCAATGCAGGGGACACGGGTTCGTGCCCCGGTCCGGGAAGATCCCACATGCCGCGGAGCGGCTGGGCCCGTGAGCCATGGCCGCTGAGCCTGCGCGTCCGGAGCCTGTGCTCCGCAACGGGAGAGGCCACAACAGTGAGAGGCCCGCGTACCGCAAAAAAAAAAAAAAAAAAAAGAAATGGCATCATAAAGCCTCTTGGAGAATTCTCCTGAGGGTTTTCAATAAAGTATCTCTCAAGAGTATTACCCAGTGCCAGGCAGGTCTTCAGCAGGAGAATTTCTGTGATGACATTGACACTGGGGTCGTGTCACTCATGATCACTTCTCACTTCTTCTGCCGTCTCCTCTTTCTGCTCAGGGCAGCATCTCATCACTGCGGTTGCTGATCATCTGTTTGGGCTGAAGACAACATCATGGTGAGCAAGAGGCATAAGACTAATTGTCAGGCATGGGTCCCTGACTGCTGGCTCCTTTCCTAGTAGTGAGTCAGGGGTAGGAGGATAAAAATCTGCTGTGCTCACCTGTTCCCCTCGAAGATGGGGTGGTGGATGACTTTGTGTTTTCCCTGAGAAACATCTCCCTTTGCTTAAAAAAGGATATGGACTTTGAAGCTCAGTGACCTAGGGGGTGAATCCCTTGCATGACCTTGATCATGTTCCTTATCACCCCTCACCTGTAAAGTGGAAATGACAATCCCTACTTTGTGACATTTTTGTGAGGATTAAATACCAGCATTTACATGAACATGCTTTGTAAATGATAAACTTCCTTCTATTATTAATTGTCCCCGTCAGCATCCTGTGGCCACTCTACTTTTTGCAGGGAGTTAGGGCGACTCCGGAGTGTCATCGAGCTGGACAGCCCTTCTGTGACTGCGGAGCAAGTAGCTGCCATTGAGCAGAGTGTCAATGCAAAAATCAGAGATCGGCTGCCTGTGTATGTGCGAGAACTGAGCCTGGATGATCCCGGTGTGGAGCAGGTGAGGGGAGAGCCGGCAGGGTGGCTTCTGTAGAGTGGCCCTCCAAGGGCTCCTCATCAAAATTCAAACAGCCCTCCTCCCTCCCTTGCGTTCCAGGTGAGGGGCCGGGGTTTGCCGGATGATCATGCTGGGCCTATTCGAGTTGTCACCATCAAGAGCGTTGATTCCAACATGTGCTGTGGGACCCACGTGAGCAATCTCAGTGACCTTCAGGTAGGTGAGGAAGGGCTCTTGAGTGGGTGGGAGAGAGGGTGTCAGAGGTGGGGGATCACAGCAGGGCTGGGAGTGATAGAGGGGGACACGTGAGGGGTCCTGAGTGAAATCACTCCTTATTGCTTCCGAGACAGCAGTGAGGTCTTGATCTCTCCTACCCTTGGGTCCAGCACCTGCTGCGGTTTATGTGTCTGTGTGTGTCTGTGTGTGTGTGTGTGTCTGTGTGTGTGTGTGTGTGTGTGTGTGTGTGTGTGTGTGTGTGTTTTACTTCCTTGCCTCATGTAGGTCATTAAAATCCTGGGCTCTGAGAAGGGGAAAAAGAACAAAACCAACGTGACCTTTCTGGCTGGGAACCGGGTGCTGAAGTGGATGGAGAAGAGTCACAGCACTGAGAAAGCACTGACAGCTCTGCTGAAGTACGCCCCCTTCCACTGCCTCCTTTTCTCAGCGCCTGGGCAGCCCGGAGCTTAGCCTTCCCACCTGTGCGGCAGACAGAATACTCTATCTTTAGGGGTAGCATGCAACCAGAAATGCTAAGGTGCTTTGGGTAGCCGATCAGATGCACACAAAATGGTTTCTTCCTTTACATCCTCTTCCCCAACAGCCTGAGGCTTCCTTGGAAATGTCCCTGGGTCCCATCAAGAAGGGCGCCATTGATTTATGCCTGACACCAAAAGCAGTTGGAAAACTGGGCAGGCCTCCATGAACCTTTCTCTTGCAGGTGTGGAGCAGAGGATCACGTGGAAGCAGTGAAAAAGCTACAGAACTCCAGCAAGCTCCTGCAGAAGGTGATTTATCCATGGAGGGTGGCGAGGGTGTGGGCTCTGCCTGGAAAAGCCTCCCCAGACTCAGCCCCTCCACCTAACTGGATGTGCAGCATGTTAGTGGGCAGTGACTGGGGAGGGGAGGGGTGGAGAGATGGTATTCTCTCTGGTTACCCTTTCCCCACCTGTCAACTGAGTTATGGCATCCTTTTCAGAACAACCTGAATCTGCTCAGAGACCTGGCTGTGCACATTGCCCACAGCCTCAGGAACAGCCCAGACTGGGGAGGTGTGGTCACATTACACAGGTGAGGCCAGGGGTGCTAGGCTTAGGGCTCAGCCTCTCCCCTGTACGCAGTGCAGAGTGGGAGGCGGGTCGCCCCGGGTGTTCTTTTTGTTTTTTTGGGGTATGCGGGCCTCTCACTGTTGTGGTCTCTCCCATTGCGGAGCGCAGGCTCCGGACGTGCAGGCTCAGTGGCCATGGCTCACGGGCCCAGCCGCTCCGCGGTATGTGGGATCTTCCCGGACCGGGGCGCGAACCCGTGTCCCCTGCATCGGCAGGCGGACTCTCAACCACTGCGCCACCAGGGAAGCCCCGCCCCTGGTGTTCTTAAGGCTGAGAAGACCCGAAGAAGTGTGTTGCCTTGCAGATTTCCTGGGTTTGATATAAATATCTTCACTATAACTTTCATTAGAGCCTTCCCTCATCTCCTTTGCCATCTAACAGGTCTCCACTTACCCGGGTGAATCCTGTTTAAGGGAGACAGAAACAAACGCAAAACTTGTTATAGCGTGCCGAGGCTTAGAAAGATGCCAGGCTGGCCCTCAGAGAGCACGCTCTTTCTCTGGGACTTTGCACAAACGGCAGCAGTGTGGCCAGCCTCACAAGGAGGAGCTGGGCTTCCTGCAGGTTCCTAGCTCCCGTTGCAACTTGGATCTGATGTCTTTGCCCTTTGTTTTAGGAAGGAGGGTGATTCTGAGTTCATGAATATCATCGCCAACGAGATTGGGTCAGAGGTAAGAGGAGCATGAGGTTCTCTGTCTGCCCCGGGTGGAGACCTAATGAGGGGCGTCAGGTTAGCTGAGGTCCCTCCGCATGAACACATGAAGAATAGGGAACAGAAATTCATTCAACGCTATTTTCTCAGCACTGACTCTGAGCTAGGCTCTGTTTTAGGTGCCAAGCTCAGTCAGTGGTATTGACCTTTCTGGGGCTGTGACACTTACCAGCTTCAGAGCTCCTTTTATCAGAACTGGAACTCCTCCGTGCCACCCACATTTATATGTGCTGAGGGCTGATTTCAGAAATACGGCGGTCGGCTAGGCCCTTAGAAGGCCGTCCGTTCAGTGTTCCTTTGCCTCTGGCTTCAGCCACCCGTCCTGGTCCTGACCAGAGCTTAGTGGTTTCCAGGTCTCTCTTTTGCATTCACTCAGGAAACACCTTTGGGAATATCTACTCTGGGCCAAGCAGTGTGTGTGTATCTCTCCTCTTATTTCTGTGTAGAGAGTACTGATTCTCAAGGAGCTCACTCTTGAGTCTGGGAGACAGCCGTGTATGCCGACATTTTTAACTTAGGGTGGTCAGTGCTAGAGGCAGAGGAGCGCATTCCCTGAAAGGCTGGGGAGGCTTCAGGGGAGAGGCCTAGAAGACTGCTTAGCGGTCATCGGCAGACAGGGGTGCCGAGGTGGCCAAGCAGAGGGAAACACGGAGGTTTTGGCGATAGCAGACACAGGGTGCAAGGGGCGGTGTGGGAGTGGGGTGACCAGGCTGCAGAGTTTGGCGGGAGTCAGATCATGAAAGACATTCTATGCTTGGTCATGGTCAGCAGGCTTCTGCCCCCTTCTTAATATTCAACCTAAGTTCCTATAGCCACTCTCAAAGTTTCTTGTCCCTAGTGGGCCCCAGAGTGGAGGGGCTGCCTTACATTCATGAGGAACATCACTTGTGGTTTAGGAGGGAAAACCTGTTTTCCTTTTAATTGAGATACTGTATGTAATATTGTGTAAGGGGTACACTGTTGATTTGGTGTCTTTATATATTGCAATATGATAAAAGTCTGTTTTCCTTTTAATTGAGATACTGTATGTAATATTGTGTAAAGTGTACACTGTTGATTTGGTGTCTTTATATATTGCAATATGATAAAAGTCTGTTTTCCTTTTAATTGAGATACTTTATGTAATATTGTGTAAGGTGTACGCTGTGATTTGGTGTCTTTATATATTTGCAATATGATAAAAGTCTGTTCTTGAGACTGAAGAGAGTGCAGTTTAGGGGGGATTGACTGCACGTCTTTTAAGTGTCAGGGCTCATCTTGTCTTCCATCCTAGGAGACCCTCCTGTTCTTAACTGTGGGCGAAGAGAAAGGTGCTGGACTCTTCTTACTGGCAGGGCCAGCTGAGGCTGTGGAGACCCTGGCGCCCAGGTAATCTTGCGTGGACTGCTTTGCACGGGTGGAAGAGCCTATAAGCCTAACCTACTAATAGCACCCTTGTTGGATGCAAAGGGCCACTGCATCTGCATCTCATTTTTTTTTAAAATAAATTTACTTATTTATTTATTTATTTTTGGCTGTGTTGGGTCTTCGTTTCTGTGCGAGAGCTTTCTCCAGTTGTGGCGAGCGGGGGCCACTGTTCATCGCGGTGCGCGGACCTCTCACTGTCGCGGCCTCTCCCGTTGCAGAGCACAGGCTCTAGACGCGCAGGCTCAGTAGTTGTGGCGCATGGGCCTAGCCGCTTCACGGCATGTGGGATCTTCCTGGACCGGGGCACGAACCCGTGTCCCCTGCATTGGCAGGCAGATTCTTAACCACTGCGCCACCAGGGAAGCCCCTGCATCTCATTTTCATTCACATTACAGCCATGTGATGTTGCCTGAGCAGAAATAATGATCACCACTGTCATTCCCAGTTTTAGAGATGAGGGACAGCACATTGTGTGCCTGAGATCTCACGGTTAAAGTGGCAGAACTGAGACTCGAGCCCAGGACTTTCGGCTCCAAATCTCACGTGCTTTGTGTTTTTTCTTTTAGAAATTGAGATTCATAAGTGATACATGAATACAGGTGCTGTATTCTCACTAGGCAGATGAAGCACCTGCTTAAGGCATCAGCAAAGCAGAGGCACAGACAAACTTGGGGGAAAAAATTAGGGTTTTGAGACTGAATCAAAAAACGTATTGATGTAGTTATTATAGAAAAATTAGAATTCTGTTGGACTTTTTTACTCTTATATTGTTTATATTTTTTATTTTAAATTAGATATGGAGGTGGAGCGCCCCATATTCTTTCTGGCATTTAGGGTTTTGAAGTCCTGACTGGCTGTGATGAATATGTGTTCACTGTAAAACACTGAAGGAAAACAGAAGTATTTAGAGCAGAGGTTCCTGACAGGCAGCCAGCTGTGGCCTATAGACTGGTTTGGCCTGTGTACTACTTTAAATTTTTAAAATTAGTTGCTACATTTTAAAATTAGGAGATTTTTATTTAAAAATAGGGAGTTCTAGCTTTTCTCAAAAAAGGAAGAAAAAAAGGCACACGCTTGCAACACTGGACTGATGTTCCTGCAGGTTAGTATCTACGAGGACGTGAGTGGGGCCTGCTTCTTCAGACAGCATGGGCCCGGCCAGTGCCGTAGGCCCACCTTTCTCGCTCAGCCCCAGTTGCTTCCCTGCTGTTCCCGCAGGCCTTTGTGTCTATAGCTCTTTACTCCTAATGACGCTCATCCCGTTCCTTGGAGGTTGCCATAATTTAGCCCGTTTCTAGACACTTCTATTGTTTCCAGTTATTCACTCTTTTTTTTTTAAAATAATCATTAATTAATTTATTTTTGGCTGCGTTGGGTCTACGTTGCTGCACGCGGGCTTTCTCTAGTTGCGGCGAGCTGGGGCTACTCTTTGTTGTGGTGCGCAGGCTTCTCATTGCAGTGGCTTCTCTTGTTGCAGAGCACGGGCTCTAGGCGCATGGGCTGTAGTAGTTGTGGCCCGTGGGCTCTAGAGCACAGGCTCAGTAGTTGTGGCGCACGAGCTTAGTTGCTCCGTGACATATGGTGTCTTCCTGGACCAGGGCTCGAACCCATGTTCCCTGCATTGGCAGGTGGATTCTTAATCAGTGTGCCACCAGGGAAGCCCCCAGTTATTCACTCTTAAATAAATATGGTACCCATATCTTTGTGCACATGTGCAAGTATTTCTAGAAGCCATTTACTTTTTCTCTCCCCCGAGCCCAAGGGGAAAGCCTCAGGGCTGCCCTTGGTTTTCCTGTGACTTTTCCCTCAAAGACGCCCTCCCTGACTGTCTCTCTGCTCCCCAGGGTGGCTGAGGTGCTAGAAGGCAAGGGAGCGGGGAAGAAAGGCCGCTTTCAGGGCAAGGCCACCAAGATGAGCCGCCGGGCAGAGGTGCAGGCGCTTCTCCAGGACTACGTCAGCACGCAGAGTGCAGAGGAGTGAGGGCTCGGGTGCCTCCCTGGTTGTCCGTTGACAGCCGGCCTCCTGTGACCACAGAAGGAGTCTCTTGGACAATAAAATACTTTGACTTGAAATGATTGTGGCACCATGTATATTTACATGATGGATATGAATTTATACAGTATATTCCAGTGTGCTTATGTGATCAGTGTCTTTGTGAATAAACAGCTTTATTTTTTAAAATTTATTTTATTGAAGTATAGTCGATATATACAATGTTGTGTTAATTTCTGCTGTACGGTAGAGTGATTCAGCTACATATGTTCTTTTTCATAATTTTCCCATTATGGTTTAGCACAAGATATAGAATATAGTTCCCTGTGCTATACAGTAGGACCTTGTTGTTTATCCATTCTATATATAATAGTTTGCATCTGCTAATCCCAAACTCCCAGTCCATCCCTACCTACCCCCCACCCCCACCCCTACTGTGGCATCCACAAGTCTGTTCTCTATGTCTGTGAGTCTTACACAGCTTTCTAATTCAGCTCCTGTTAGGCACACCCTATCCGTGAGTGTTATGTTGAGGAACTGTAGTAATTTATCTAAACCCAGCTGCAGTCTTTCTTCATGTAGAAATGCAGCTGCCTAAGGAGATGTGAGTCAGACCAGAGGCTTGGCTTAGGGCTCAGACTCACATCTCCTTGTTTTCTCTTATTTTTCCCTTATTTCTTTTCCTAGTCTTGTGTTTCAGGATTAAAAGGTATCAATGACTTTGTAAATAGGTCAAGAGGGCACGAAAATATATAGTTGAAAGATGTTCCAAGTCTGCTGTTGAGGCAGGAAAAGGATGGAAAAAGATACCAGGCAAGACTAACCCAGAGAAAGCTGGGGGTATTATTAATATGAGGTAAATGAGACTTTAAGGCTGTAACACTTTAAGAATCATTATTGGCTCCGCCCCCCCAGAAAAAAAAAAAGGAATTCCCTGGCGGTCCAGTGGTTAGGACTCGGTGCTTTCACTGCTGTGGCCTGGGTTCAATCCTTGGTGGGGGAAGTAAGATCCCGCAAGCTGCACAGCATGGCCAAAAAAAAAAAAAGAATCATTATTAGAGACCAAGAGAGACATGTGGTGATAAAAGGAAGATAAAATAGTTCTAAATTTATAGGTATCTAATAACAGCCTCAAAATACGTAAAGCAGACATTGACAGATCTAAAAGGAGAAACAAATCCATAGTTGATGGAAGATTTAAAGTCATCTTTCAGCAGCTGATAGAACAAGAGGAAGCATTATCTCAAGGTTAAGAGCATAGACTGGAGTTTCACAGACCTGAGTAGTCCTGGCTTTGTGCATCTATAGGTGGTAGAACTATATAACAAAAAGCGAGGGATTGATTTTAAAAGGACAACATTTATTGATACTTCTGGGGAAGGGAGTGAAGCAGGATGAAGAAGTGACCCAAGGTGGGGGTGGGAGGGTGGTTTCTGGGGTGCCCGCAGTGTTTTGTTTCTTGACTTGGGTGACAGTTAAACATCGGGCTTTGCTCTGTAATTACGCATTGTAGTCTACATTTATTCCATGAGGTTATATTTCACAATTTAAGAATACAACTTAAAAAAAATCTGATTCTGTTGTTTACTCACTTGGGAGAGTTATCTTGCCTTTTCAACCTTCACTTTCCTCACTGGTGATGTGGCAGTAATGGGGGTGCCTCAATCTCTGTGGTGTTGGGAAGTAACTTATTCAACTGTAAGTGCTCAAGAAAACACTGGATTCCTGGAGATGATCTAGAATGGGTATTTTTGATTACCTAATGTTCAGTTCCTCTACCTGCAAATCGAGGATTGGTTGTAACAGCAGGAGTGGCTGCACTTCTGCCACCTCCAGGTGAGCTGCATCCCCGGGCAGTGCCCCTGTGGATGGACGTGTGTGCAGGCACCTCCTATGCTTCCCCAGGTTATTTTGGAGCTATGATTGAGGCCAAGGGAGGCGTCTTTTGAACCCAGCAGCTACCGGTGAATAGCTTCAGATTAGATGTCTGTCTCCTTGTTCACACAAGGACTTTATTCAGGTAAAATTCCCACATGAGGAATTTCTGCTGCGTTCCTGCTAGAGAAACTGAGGCAGGCAGGGAGCGTGGCTTCATAGAATTTGGCTGGATGGAATTGAGTGGTTACCTAGTGTAGTGGCTTTCAAACTTTTGTCTTCAATTTAGAGGAAGCTTTTCTTCATGAGTCTTACATATAACAGCCCAATTCGGAAATGGATGAAAGCTGTGTTGATCTGGTTGGAAAAAGGAGTGGAGGCTTGGAGTTTTGCAGGAGCTTAGAGGGCCCTGAGGTACCCCCATGGGGCCACAGGGCACCATTTGGAAACCACTGATGTACTGTAACTATTTTATAGATGAGAAGGTTCAGGGAAGGTAGGTGCCAATGGGTATATGATTAGTAATAGTACCATAGGGCAATAAGCATCCAAGGTAGTTAAAAAGATTAGCTTCACATTTAACAAGTGTTTTTTTTTTTTTTTTTTTTTTTTAGGTACGTGGGCCTCTCACTGTTGTGGCCTCTCCCGTTGCGGAGCACAGGCTCCGGACGCATAGGCTCAGCGGCCATGGCTCACGGGCCCAGCCGCTCCGCGGCATGTGGGATCCTCCCGGACCAGGGCATGAACCCATGTCCCCTGCATTGGCAGGCAGACTCTCAACCACTGCGCCACCAGGGAAGCCCTTAACAAGTATTTTTTGATGTGCCATTCCATTTCAAAGTATAGACCAATTCTCCCAAATAGCCCCTGTGTTTTCCCTCACAGGGCATGTCAGCTTTGATGTTTGTGCTGGTCCTATAAATCAAACTTATGGTTGAATCCTGGGTCTCCGGATGAGGTTATGTGCTTACATGTGCATGTGATATAGAAGTTCAGGGTGGGGCTTCCCTGGTGGCGCAGTGGTTGACAGTCTGCCTGCCGATGCAGGGGACACGGGTTCGTGCCCT